TCCATGAAAGCTGCAGGCGCATTTGTTATCCCAAAAGGCATGACCAAAAATTCATAGTGTCCATATCTAGTTCGGAATGCGGTTTTCTCTATGTCTTCAGCCTTAACCTTTAATTGGTGATATCTAGACCTGAGGTCAATTTTGGAAAATACTTGGGCTCCCTGAAGTTGGTCAAACAAGTCATCTATCCGAGGAAGAGGGTATTTGTTGTTAATAATTACTTTGTTCAACTCTCGATAGTCTATACACAATCTCAAAGACCCATCCTTCTTTTTGACAAACAAGACTGGAGCACCCTAAGGTGAAGTGCTCGGACGGATAGATTTCTTGTTTAGCAGTTCCTGGAGTTGAGTTTTCAATTCTTTCAGTTCTGAGGTAGACATTCTATAGGGAGTCTTGGAAATAGGTTGTGTTCCCGGAAACACCTCAATAGTGAATTCAATTTCTCTATCAACTAAGTCCCCAGGTAAGTCATTCGAAAATACATCAGGAAATTCACAAGCAACAGGGATAGTTTCTACATTAGTATCGTCAGATGGTGCAGTCAATATACAACACAAGTAACCCCTACATCCCTTCCTAAGCAGTTTTACAATTTTCATAGCCGAAATTAGATATGGGGGAGGAACTAAACCATTCCCAATAAAAATAAATTCAGGTATACCCGGTGGCCTAAACACAACAGATTTACTTGCACAGTCAATGGTAGCACAGTATTTAGTCAACCAGTCCATTCCCAGAATACAATCAAAATGATTAATCTTTAAAGGTAACAAGTCAACATATAACACCATATCGCCAATCATAATATCACATGCTGGATAAACATGAGCGCACATCATAGAACCCCCAGACGGTGTAGATACAGATAACACATATGTCATAAGTTCTAAGGGTCTAGCCAATTTCTGAGAGAAAGCATGCGACACAAAGGAATGTGTAGAACCAGAATCTATCAGTACACATGCATTTTGAGAACATACGAAAAGTGTACCTGACACCACAGCGTAGGTGTTTTGTACATCTCCGGGCACTAAGGTAAACACTCGTCCTTATCTCAGAGGTTCTTTTCCAGCATTGGCTTTTGCATTTGTTTTGGCTGTAGAAGCGGATCCAGCTGAACTTTCCATAGGACGGCTCATAGTCTCAGACCTGAGTGGGCAATCTCTCACCACGTGACCTATCTGGCCACATCGGAAACAAGCACCGGACACTCGGTAGCACACACCCCTATGTCTTCTTCCACAATCAGAACAGACCGGAATAGACCCACTACTCTGACTTGAACTATTTGTAGACCCCGTATTCTACTTCTTACTACCAGAAGACCGGCCTCTTCTAAAACCATACCCAGACCTTTTCCCTCTCCAATCAGTTGTTGTAGCTGCTGGGGCTTTACTTTGTTTCATAGTGACTAGGGTGGCTTCCGCCATAAGGGATCTGTCTAAAACCTCCACATAAGTAGGCAATTTCAGTATGCCTACTCGATAAAACACCTCCAAATCTAATCCACCTTCAATTTTCATGCTGTCTTGTAATCGGTATCCACTATATGTGGAGCAAATCGTGCTAGTTCGGTGAATTTGGCTTCATACTCAGCTACAGACATTCTTCCCTGCTTGAGTTCTTGAAACTCAGACACTTTCCGATCCTTGAAACATGGGGAAAAATATTTATCGTAGAAGATTGCATTAAACTGTGCCCATGTCATATTCCCATTGCTGTTTCAGATTAGTAACCACCACCTTCGGGCTTCATCCTTCAGAGTATAAGTGGCTAGGAGGACTTTCTGGACTTCAGAGCAAGGAAACACCTCATATAGCTTCTCTATTTCAAGTAACCACGTTTCTGCTTTCAATGGTTCAATCCCACCATAGAATGTCGGCGGTTTCATTTTCATGAATTTCTATGTCAAGTTGATGATATCAGTATAGTCTGCTTCGGCTTGTACCGGTAGAGAGAGAGGGGGCAAAGGTTGTTGTCCTTGCTATTGCATCAAAGTTTCAGTCAATGCTGCAAGCATCTGTTCCATTCAGCCCATGCGAGCCTCTGAGGATTCACTTATATCACTTCTCCTTGCATTCTCCATGTTGCTATAGAGACATCAAATGATAATATACATAGGCGTAATCTTATTCATTTCTTTCCATTCATTTATTCAAATTTCTATTCAGTCTTCACTTAGATTACCACACACTCACACATGCAGATGGAATGCCCCTAACTCTTACTAGGACACCCTAAGCTCATATGGACCTGTGTGTGCGGTAGAACACGTGCTCTGATACCACTCTGTCATGACCTAAACTCGCCCCTGTAGGTTTAGCATCGTAACCGGCCAGTAATCTGTGGATTACTAAAGGCCTCTGAACAGATAAGCACATAGTAAGGGGCTACGGAAGCATTTATACAAAATAGACAAGGTCCAATGAGTTGTGGTAACATACATGAGACAGAATATTTTAAAACTTGTATATATACATATAAGCATGTCGGTCGAAGGGCATCAATATTTACAAAACATTTACAAAAGTGTAATACCCAGGACCCAATTGTACAAGCAGACGAAAACTAACACAAGCACAAAACCAGCCATGAGACTGGACATCAATCGGAACCTCCTCGGGAGGCACAATGGTTGGCTGACAAAAACAGGGATGAAGGCCATCAACTCTGGCCCTGATCATGCGTCGGCTCACCTACATACATAATATAAATTGTGAGCGAAAGCTCAGTGAACAATAACAGAGTAAAGGGGTTTCAATGAATAAGTCTGTACAGATTCAGAAATCATAGTTCATAAGCTGTCCAGATCATATACAGAAATTATAAGTCATGCGTAAGTATACGTGATACATCCATTAGCATTAACAGAGCAGATACAGAACAGAGACAGACACGTGAGGGTTACGAATAACCAGTTCCATAAAGGAACCTCCGGATCCGGGTAACAGAGAATAAATACGCTGAGCTCCATGACGGAACCTCCGGTACGGGTAATAGAGTGCAAACAGATTAAGTTCCATGGTGGAACCTCCGATACCGGGTAACAGCCAACATATGTCACATGATGCTAAGGATGTCACGAGTATATATCAGAAATTGGACAATCATTCATTGTATAGAATGTAGCATATCGGAAAGCAGATATTATTTTATCATTCAGAAAATAAATATAGTTGAACATAACTTTACTAAGTTATTACTCACAGTTAGCCTTGAGACCGACAGACGGAGCAGACTAATTAATGGTGTATGGCACGTGACCTACAGAACACATAACAGATACACACTTGAAACATACTTTCGAATCGTACATAACTTGTTTTGTTTGCTCTTAGTGTGTTTCTAACCCTTTATTTTCATTATGGGGTCTTAAATATGGCCTAGGAATGCCTATGATGGATTGAGGATGCAAAAATGCATTGAAAACTAATTCTCAAATTTTGCTAAAAATAAGGTCCATGCTCGAGCATGGCTTTCCCCGCTCGAGCGGACATGCAGTTATTGAAGCTCCGCTCGAGCGTGAACTTCCCCGCTCGAGCGGACTATAAAATTTGACAAAAGTACTGGATACATGATTTTCACGCTTGACGGACGCTCAACCTCCCGCTCAAGCGTGAGACATAGATTCTCGCTCGAGCGTGGATTCCCTCTCTCGAGCGGACTGCAAAACACATGAACTTCTGGGTATATGCATTTCACTCTCGAGCGTAACCCTTGACGCTCGAGCGGAAATGCATGTACTCAGGCTTCACACTCGAGCGTGAAAGTCCCCGCTCAAGCATGGATCAAATTTCTGGAAAATCCAGATTGATCTCCAAGCATGAAATTCAACATTTAACCATCCAAAACTCATTTTTTCTGGGCCAAGACTTGGGGAAAAGCATGAAAACTCATAAAACAACATGTATTGAAAATCATTTCAAGAAATCATGGCCCAAAAGTATGCAAATTGTACAAAATTCAACTTGGAATTTAAAGTTTATTCAAGAACATAACATGCATGCACATTCTTGAGCTAAGGCCCTCCAAAACATAATCAAATTCTACAAAATAACATGAAACTCATTGTGTTTCCAAAATTAGACTGAACTCAACACATGCATGAAGGAATTCTTGAAAATCAAACTTCAAAGTGCTATGAAACATGCATGGATTGATCCACTTCCCTACTCCTTAAGCTTGATTCCCACATCTTATAGCTCAATTAACTTGAATTCATGCATGAACAACTTAAACTCTCAATCAAAAGAATGGATTTCCTACCTCAAGTCTTGAATTCTAAGTATGGTAGCTCAATCATGCAACTCTTCTTCAATTTCTTCTAATTTTCCAAGCAATTCTTGATGAATCAATGTTTTTCCTCCCAAGTCTCCCTCTCTCACGTTTCTCTCCTTTAGAATGGGCTCAAGTGTGATCAAAATGAATAAAAGAGGTGAATGGGGCTCAATTAGCCTAATAAGTGGTAATTTGTTCAAAAGTAAACAAATGGCATTATTTTAATCAAATTTAATATTTCCGAACCGAATTTTACTTAGACCTACCATAAAATTCTATAAATCCTAGTTAGCACATAGATCAAGTCAATTTTTTATTCGAACGCCGATAAGGCTTTCAATTCGCAATCTCAATGGTTTTGGAAAATTATGCGCAATTGGAAACCAATTTTCTATTCAAGTAGTGCATTTGAATCACTCGCAAGTGTGCTCAAACTCAAACAGATACAAAGTGTGATCAAACTACTTGAGAGAGAGAGAGAGAGAGAGGGAGAGAGAGAATGTGATCTAACTAGAAAAACTGTAGTTCAATGTCCATCTAAGTGTTTGTCTTGGTTTGTTTAGATGTGAATGCAAAGGTTAACCTACAGAATTGAGGCTTGCTATTTTCAAGGATACGCTATAGTGATAAATTTTTCGTTATTGTTTTTTCTTAATATGAATAGTTCAATATATGCATCGTCATAAAAGAAGTAATATCAACCTTATTGGTGATTTTAGGTGCTTGGAAGAACAGCTAAAAGGAAGAAATTGCTCTCACCAAAGGGCATGGACGTACGCCCAATGATGGAAGTTGTAAAAGGTGCAGCCTTTGACATTTTGCAGGTAAAAGATATCTTATTCTTCAAATGTTGTCCTCTAGTTCTAGAAACAAGATGATACTTCAATTTCTTTGTCTGCAATTAACCTTATGTAGATGCTATTTTGATATACTTATAATGTTGTTTTATTAAGGCGGCCGGTGGTTGTCCTGCATCTTTAAGGCCTGGTCGTTGGTTAGACTTGTATAGCGACGCAGGATCTGTTGGTATTGAGGCTCTCAGCTGGGGATGTTCTGAGGTACTATGATTAATTTAGTAAACTAGCAGTAATTTTTTAATTAAATTTTTGGATTGTTTGATGTTTGAGAAAAATTAATTAACAATTTTGGACTATTTGATGAAGGAGAAAAAGCATTCTAAAAGTTAGGATGTGATAGTTACTATTACTAGGTAGGAAGGGGTTGACAGTTACAAGATTGGAAAGGCATTATTAGAAAAGTAAAAAGCATGATAGCTTTCACATCAACTCAGGTGTATGATTTATATAAATAAAATAGATAACTGTTTATAGCGTTGCTAACAATGTTTAGCTGATTGCCTAGCTGGTAAATTAATGCTGAACTCATATAGGATGGAGTAGCTTCATGATATAGTTAAAAAGATGTGTTTGACTTGAGTTTTGGCAATGAGATTTTTTGAGGAGTTGTTTGGTTTTAGTTTCTTTTGTTGTTTTGATTTCATGTTTCTCTTATTGGTTTGCACTGAAATACAGGCTGTGCATACTGTCAGGTGCATTTTGTCGAAATGGATCCTTGGGTTGTTTCAGATGTTCTACGGCCAAATTTAGAATGGACTAGTTTTCTTGATGTTTCTGTCATACATACAGCCCGTGTCAAAAGGTTCTTACAACAGGCTGAACGGTTTGTAGGTATGTGATTTCTTCTTCTCTGCTCTCTCTCTCTCTCTCTCTCTCTGATTTCTAGCCATCTGCAAACAATCATTTCTAATTGTTGTGTAGTTGCCAAAAGTATTGTTCTAGGTTATCAGTTCAATTATTACCTTAACTCCTATGTTCTGACTATTGAGAGGAATATATTTTTATCTACTATAACCAATAGAAGTACTATTGCCTACCAGTATTATAGATTGAATTTGTTTTTAGTATATCATTTCTTATTCTCATGTGTTTGCTTGTCTTTGTGTATGCTCTTATATGCATGTTTTGTGTGTTTGTGTATGAGATCCATGGATGGTTGTCTTCAGATAGTTTTTCTTTCATTTTCCTTCTTTACTAAGAATGATTGCGCTATCTTTGACGAAAGGGCAAAAGATAATGATCACAATTTACCCACCATGACATTTATCACTCGTGATTATCGCTTTTTTACACCAAGCCCTGTACACTATTTTTCTATTGATTTGTTCTTGTCTTTCTATGATCTGAAGACTGAAGCCTATATTCTTATAGAGACATTGCAACTTATGAATTGTTTTTGTGTTGGAAAAGATGGGCCATTTGATTATATTAGCGTGACACCTCCATATACTGAAGTGGATTATGGGGTACTGATGGATCAAGTTTCAAAATCATCTGTAGTTGGAGAGGATACCTTTATAGTAAGTTGGTGTTTTTCCCATCGTTGCTAAATTCATTTTTATGTGTATATTTTTCACCCAAGTTTCTTTCGAAACTTCCAAATTTTGTGTTCTAGGTAGTAGAGTACCTTTTAAGAACAGACATGCTGGATTCATGTGGATGCCTTATAAAGGTACTTCCTATGACCATTTGTTTTTCTGTTGGCATTTAATTTATAAATGAAGATAAATGGTTGCTCTTTTGACTTATTACTTCTTTTACATCTAAGAAGCAAATGAATCCCCTCTTCTGCTTTTGTTCTACCATTCTCACCGTTATTTTTCCACTATGGTTTCAGTTGAATGGAACGATGCAGAAAAGGAAATAAAATCTTGAATAAACTTTAAGGTGAAGGAGAACTAATATCTTATAGTAAAAAACTCCTTCCATGTTTTTGACATATTTTCTTTTTCTTCTTATTTTCCTTCTTTTGTCATTCGAATAAATTTACCACATGGAGTTTTCAGGTTTCCACTTTCTGACATTCTTATTGGTGTTTTATTATTTTATTTATTTTTTCTCGTATACTTTTTATTTGGATAGTTTTGGGGCAAAGGTCTTTATATCATGTAGTATTCATGTCCCTGATTTTTGTATGATAAGAAGTTCCTGCATATTTTACTTGGTTTTGTGTTATAAGGCACCAAGGCTATGTGGGAATCTCATTCTCACAACCCGCTATGGGCATCTTATGCTAAGGCTCGTTCATCTTGCCTTTGCACAATTCAAGGTTGCCTTCCTAAGGCTAAATAAGATTACCACACTAAGTGTTTATCTCATTCTCAAACCCCATATGGGAATCTTATATTCCTGGAGCGTTCTAGAGTGGCAAAAAAGAGAAATCCAGGACAGAATGCTTGATTTTTTGTAGTTGTTTCTGGAAGAATTTGCAATTGTTCTCAAGTTTTCATTCAGAACTTGCTGTTGACTTTTGGTTTTGTGGTTCAGATGGGGAAGTTGAAAAGACGCATTCAACCTAGGGACATTACTATAAATATTGGAAAGGATGCCCCAATTCCCGAATGCCCTATCCCTGGTGAAAGGTAGTTGTTTCTGCCATAATTTTATTGGAAAATAGGAACAAAGTTGTGTCTCTGTTTTAAGATTTTTTATAAATTAAATTTACAAATATTTGATCTTTGCAGATGGAAAGAAATAAGGCATGACAACACAGTTACATGGCTTGCTTTTTGGAATGATCCAATCATCCCAAAGGAATTCAAATACGTGTTCTTGGTAGCTAGCAGTTCTTTGAAAGGGCAAAGTGACAAGGAGAAATATGAGAAATTAAGGATGTTGAAGGTACTTTACATAAAATTTTACCTACACATCTGATGAATGCCATTTCTATTTGTGTTAGACAATGTAGTAGTAACTTCCCGTTCCTTAGCTATAACTATAATTCGTTGTTTGATTGTAGGACTACATACAAGGCATCAGAGCAGCTTATACTAAAGATTTTACCAGTAAGGATATCACAAGACGGCAAATAGCAGTTGCCACATATCTTATTGATAAACTAGCTCTCAAGGCAGGCAATGACAAGGTATGGTGTATGTAATTGTTTTCATCATGTTTATGTTTATCTTTTACTCTCTTGTTCATGGAACATCCTCTTTCTTTTTCCTCCCAATGTAGAAGCATAGTTGAGAATCTGACAACAGGTAATTGGGTATGGTGTATGTAATTGTTTTCATCATGTTTATGTTTATCTTTTACTCTCTTGTTCATGGAACATCCTCTTTCTTTTTCCTCCCAATGTAGAAGCATAGTTGAGAATCTGACAACAGGTAATTGGTTAAAACTGTGTTGGATGGGGTGGACAACAGGTAATAGTGTTTTATTTACTTTATATAGATGCATGCTTTAATGTATAAACACATGTATTATGTATATATGATGAGTCCTCTGCGATCTTGCTCAGAAAATAAATAGAAACATAACAAAAAAAATGAAACAAGTTTTGGAGCCTTTATTCTTATAATTGTTTCGATCTTGCAGGATGATGATGAAGTTGATACCGTTGGTTGCTGCACATTGAAAGTAGAAAATGTAGAACCAATGCCTCCAAATATTCTGAAGGTATAATGGCGTTTATGTCTCAGATAGCAATGTTTTAAACCTTAATTTACAATTGGATTTGGTTATAATAATATTTCTGAGTTTGGTGGGTTATTATATTGAGATTTTGAAGTTTTAAATGACTAAAAAGGGGACTACATGATATGAAACTGGAATAAGTTTTTGGAATATTTTGAACCTATTAGAAACATGTAACAATACAAAGGTTTTTCGTCAACTGCAATTAATAACAAATCAATATCTTTTCTGGTTTTCTAGTTTGACTTTCTTGGTAAAGATTCAATTAGATACCAAAATGAGGTTGAAGTTGAACTTCCTGTGTTCAAGGCAATTCAGCAGTTCCGAACTGGTTAGTGGATGCGTGGCCTTTTGTATCAAAATATCTCTTTCTGCATTTCATGATAAAGGCATGCTCACATGACCTTGTTTTTCTACAGGAAAAAGTGGCGGCTATGATCTTTTTGATAAGCTGGATACCAATAAACTGAATGCTCATCTGAAGGAACTCATGCCTGGTCTCACAGTAAAGGTTTTCCGTACATATAATGCATCTATAACTTTGGATGAGATGGTAAGAGGCAAGCTGGGATTTTTCACACCTTGAAGTTAGTATTTTTCCTGTGAATATGAATTTACTATGTTAACCAAACTTTTGGTACACATGGGAGTGTTTGTGTTGGTGTTTGGATTGTCTGACCATCAACTTTTGGTACACATGGGAATATGGGACCCGGCCAAATAGTTGTACCGGTGCTTATTTGAAAGGTGGTACTAGGGTGAAGTAATAAAAAAAATCAATATATGTGGGCTATCTAGCAAAACATATTGGAAATAAGATTTTGAAATATAACAAATAGTTGTTGTCATTGGACATTATTGAAAGTAGAAATGGTTTTTAACAAATAATTGCTATCATTTGACAGTAGTGAACTTGATATGCATTGGCAAGATAACTCAACTCAACTTACCAAACTTTAATCCCAATTATTTGACTTGCAGTAGGACATGGTGGTAATATGACATCATGGTTAAACCAATTTACATTTTTGTTGATTATATTTCATGATGATGAAGGCTATATATGGTTTGTAGATATAGTAGTCTGAAACATGGAGTAGTATATGCAATGAATAACATAACTTAAGCAGTTGTAGTGAACACATGATTTATTATTATTTATTTATTTATAAAAAAACATGTTTATCTTTGCGATTTAAAAAAGTTTTCTATTGAGGGGATTCATTTATTTAAAAAACATGTTTTATCTTTGCAATTAAAAAAGTTTTGGCATTTGTTTTTCTGTTGGCATTAGCAAGAAAGGGTATTAATTCAAACATTTTTTTGTTTGAATTAATACCAAACAAACACACCATCACCAAAAGATCAGGTATAAAATATATCTTTACATTCTAAGCTAAAATGTATCT